ATAATATGTGATTTTTAGCTTGTATATATCAGTTTGGTGGTGCATATCGGAACTGTATTTTTTACCAAAAATAGTACAAACTAGATCACATTTCACGGAATCTAGATGACTATGTTGAATTTGGCACCATAAAGGTGGAGGTCTAAGAAAAAATCATAGTTGAGGAGGGTAGATGTAATTATCCAAACAAGAGGGGGGTTTTTGTAATTTGACCATACCTCAGGGGGTGTTTGTAATTTACCCTATAATAAATTAGGGCAATGTATAATACGTTCATATCCCACTCGCCACTACTAATATTTTATTTTCTGAGCATATCCATTAACGGGAACTTTTGACTCTCTCTCTCTCTCTCTCTCTCTCTCTCTCTCTATCTCTCTCTCGTCATGATAACGCGTACCACTAAGTCAACGTATACATAATTGACAATCTTAAATTTACTAGTATTAACAATCCGGCCCACTGTCTGCATATGTGGGATGTAGATATATAAAGTCACGCGGAACTCTGAAAATGAATATAATTGCAATTAAGCTAGCATTAATTTTCTCTGAGAAATCAAATAAATATGAAAGAAGCATACTTGTTCTTGGTAATTGGTTTCTTGCTGCTAATGCACGTTGACCAAACTCAGTCAATGGCAGATCTCAACAACCCTAGATACGACAGAATGCTTCGAGGCAAGCAGCGGTCGCCGCCGCCGCCAAGCTCCAGTAAATCGATTCACCAGTCTCCAGTGCTGCCCCTTTATCCACCACCACCACCACCACCAGTACCACCACCAGGTCCGCCCATGCTTGGGCCGTATTTTCCGCCACTACACTTAAAGGATAGCCGACCACCACCACCACCACCGCCCGCGTACTAATTAATTAGTCATCAATATTAAATAAACCCCTGCCATTTCTTTTTCTTGTATTCTGGTTTAATTTCTTTTGCTAGTAATATATATTCGGTTCCACTATATATAATTAATAAAGAAACCCTAGCTTGCTAGCAGCTAGGATTACATGCATGCATGGTTCATTCGATCAAAACAAAGACCATTCCATGATTAGGTTACAGAGATCATAACATTTCAAGGTGTCAACATTTCAAATTATTTTAAGGATACGAAACTATAAATTACAGCAAAATTATATATATCTATGTAAAAAAAATAAAAAAAAATATGTTTGTTTTTAAATAATATGGTACTATAATACCCATCAATTCTAAATTAAAAAATATAGTGTGGACTGTGGAGCGCAGTAGATGGATTTGAAATTTTAGGCGTAGTTGGTACGTAGTTGCTAACCTTTTCCAAAAAACAAAAACAAAATAATTCATTGCAAGTTGACTCATGAAGGGGGTGGAGGCCCCTGGATCGCATGCAGCGTGATTTTTACTAGCTGATCAAGAACAATACTAAAAATATAAATTTTAAAAATTAAAAAAGAAATATTTAAAAACGAAAAAGTTGACTGAGTGAAGGTAGAGTAGGGCTCCTTCTACCCTACACCGGGTGATAAACAACGGTTGCGTCTTCTGCTGGAATGTAACGTTTCATTTTTTGTATTTTTCAAAAACCCGTACAGGTTAAACCTAGTGAGGAAAATAGAAATAATAATACGTAATAGAAACTCCCATTTTATTATGAGTTGATTTACATGAAATATATATAGAGAAATAATATGAGTTAAATAGAGTTTGACTAGGTAACTAAATCATAAATAATCTAGGTAATCGAATCATAATAGAATTCTAATATCCTATAATATTTAATAATATAATATACTCTAACAAAAACACGTGTCAACAGAAGACACACCCGGTTGTAGGGTAGAAGAAGTCGGTAGAATAGGTTGGCTGGAAACACGTCGTACGACTGAGTCAACATTTTTGACAAATGACAATATGAAAACTGATCTAAAAAACTAATGGCTAATAATATATATTATATATGGTGATATTGATTAGTCAAAAAAGGGAGGATGGTAAACTAAATGTTTGATGTTTAAGTAAATTATAATATACTGCGAATTATGGTAATAAACCATTCTCACTACAGTAAATCTGTAATAATAAACATGTTTTAAATAATTCGTATATCGAATTATTTTCTTGTATTCTCATTTCTTGCTAGCAATTTAATGGTGTTGATGCGTATACGCGACAGTATATACAATTTTTTTTTTTTTTTAAATTTGGTATATATATATATGTATGTATCATAGATTCAAGGTATATATTTACAAAAAAATGTGAAATTTCCAAATTTAAAATTAAATCCTCTTACAAACATATAACTAAAATAAATAACTCGTGATTGACTTTAATTTTCGAAAATATATAAAAGGGTCCATTTGATATACACCCTTAATATGAAAAATATATAGGGATAGGTCCACCCCTAAAATTCTTTCTTTGAGATAACCCCCTGGAGAGGCAAAAGTACTATTGTGCCCTTATATCTAATTTTTGTTCAACTGCATTCAGCATTTTTGCTAACTGCATTCAGCATTATGGTCAACTGCAATTAGCATTCAGACCTGCATTTATCACATTCTCAGATTTTTTTAATAAAAAATTATAAATGTTTATTTTATTATTATTTTTATATATACCTCTGTTGTATTTTTTTTTATTTTTTTTTTATTTTTTTAATTTTTTAAAATTGCTTAATTTTTTGTAATTTTTGATTTTAATATTTTTTTTTAAATTTTTTAATTTTAATATTTTTTTAAAAAAATTAAATTTTTAAATTTTTAATTTTTAATTTTGTTTCAATTTTTTGATAAATTTACTGTATTGAAATTGAGTAGACATGACTCTTGTATATATATTATATATGATTATATAAAAAAAACTTCATCTACACCAAAAGTAAAAATTCACAATTTAATCTTGATATTATAAATCAATTAATACCAAACAAAAAATTGGAAAAACACAATCATCAACATCACTGTACATCAGAAAAAACACATAACTTATATAGCTTATATATAACAATATATTACTACGAGTTACTACACGTGATATGACTACACATGACTATATATGACTACATGTATATGACTACACGTGACTATATATGACTACACATGACTATATATGACTACACATGTATATGACTACACGTGACTATATATGACTACACATGACTATATATGACTACATGTATATGACTACACGTGACTATATATGACTACATGTCTATGACTATACGTGACTATATATGACTACATGTATATGACTACACGTGACTATATATGACTACTATGTGACTATATATGACTACATGTATATGACCACATGTGACTTATAGTCAGATATAGTGTAGTTTGTATTTATAGCTTCAAATCCTACTTTTCAACACAACAACAATTTCAATCTATCGATTGCAAAAGAACTGCACCATGTCCTCTCGGCAAAAACTTATTGCATAGAAGTTGTTCGAACACCAAGACCTGTGACAAAAAAATCAAGTTCACCTTAAAAATTGAAGTTATAAATCAACTCATAACAACAAAATACGGATTGAAAATACACAATCACATGCACATGTTACTACATATTACTATATATTCCATTTTAGAGGGATGTGGCAATTTGTTCCAAGCACCCCATCTTAAATTAACTCCTCCACTGTTATATTTCATACATAATTCACCTCAAAACCAAATCCAATATCTTTCTCACCATTTAAATAAAAAAAGAAATTTTGAAATACAATTAACGGAAAATGGTTTAAAAATTAACGGAAAATTATTAAGACATTATCAAATGCTAATCAATTTTGTTGACTAATCACATTCCTATACAGATGGCCTCCCAAAGCCATAATTGACTTTGTCAAAAAAATCAAAATTACCAATCTCAAAGTTAGTATCTGTATAAAAGTGATTTGTCTGCTCAAACTGAAGGCAAGAGCAAAACTGCCAGGGGTTTCGTAAACGACGTCGTCGAGTTTTGTGCAATCTAAATCTAAGAATTGCTGGGATTAATATATGTGAACCACCGTAAAAAAAGTTTTTCCGTTTCAGAATCCAAATTTAATTGTCAGATAAAGGATATTAATTCATACAAAATTATACATTTTCCTAGTAAAAACTTACCTTTCGAATTGCTTTTGTTCGGCTTCCGATGACCCAATATTTTGAACTAAACCCAAATTTGAGAAGTCACAAATCCGCACAAATCAAAAACAGAATCAAGTTCGATAAATCCTAACTTCACCAATAACCAAAACAAAAACAAAAAACACACACACAAACACACAGTGAACTGATGAAAATTGAAAAATTGAAAAAATGAAGAAATAATTCACCTGTTGATGAACACCAGGAGGAGAAGAAGTGGTGTGAGAGATATCCAATTCGAAGTTGGTGAAGGGATCCGAGCCAAAACACACACCCAGTAGCAAACCAACGCAAATCAAATACAGCTGACGAAAAACCTCCATTAACGAATTGAGCACATTAATTAAAAATTAACAAAAAAACAAATCAGTGTGTTTTTTATCAAGACGGTGGCGGAGCTACGGCGCAAGACGAACGGCGGTGGCGGAGCAGCGGCGGACGTCGGTGGCAAAGCAGCGGCGCAAGACGGTGGCGGAGCGGCGGTGGGCATCAGTGGCGAGCGGCGCAGACGGTGGGGGAGCAGATCTGGCTGCAGAGGGTTTGTCGAGAGAGAGAGTTAGAGAGAGAGATATGAAGAGAGAAGGGGGCCGAAGTTGTAACGGGTGGGATGATACGTGTGGAAGGCTGGGGCTAGGGTTTTATGTATTGAATTAAAATTAAAAGGGTAAAACAGGTACTTCAAGTTGTATAGGGGAGTCTCACTAATTAAGTTCAGAATTTGGGTTTTTAACTAGGGGAGAAATATTTATTGGGCCTCCTCATATATATTTTCAAAACTAGGGGGTTATCACTCATTTCCCCTATATAAAATTGTCAAACATGATCGGATTTATGACAACAACTCATCTACTTCTTATATGCTATTTTTAACTGTAGTCTTGTCAAGGGGTTACTTCTTCTTATATGGTTGACTTAATTACCACCGTAGTTTGTATATATATATATATATATATACACGAATGGCAAAAAGGCCCATCACATGGAACTTAAATGCATTTTGGTCCACAAAAAAAACAGTCTCCCAATTAAACTCACCCCATGTTTATAGTCAGAAATACCCTCCATAATATAATTCTTATCAATTCCACCCATTATGCTCTAACTTCCTTAATATTACACATTGACCCCGGATTCCAGCGTTGACTTTTTTTTTTTTTTGATTTTTTTTTAATTAATATTACTATCTTGACTACTAAATTAATGTCTCAGACAGTAATATTACTGTTTGGGACAGTAATATTATGAATATTATTTTCCAGAACAGTAATATTATTAATATTATTGTCTAAGACAGTTAAATTACTGTTGTATACAGTAATTTAGCAGCCAAAGCAGTAATATTAATTAAAATATTTTTTTTAAGAAAAACAAAAGTCAATTAACAGTTAAATTACTGTCTTCGACAGTTAAATAACTGCTGTAGACAGTAATTTAGCAACGAATACAGTAATATTAATTAAAAATAATTTTTTTTAAGAATAAAAAAAGTGAATTAACAGTTAAATTACTGTTTCTGACAGTTAAATAACTGCCGGAGACAGTAATTTAGCAACGAATACAGTAATATTAATTAAAATATTTAAAAAAAAAATCAATTAACAGTTAAATTACTGTCTCCGACAGTTAAATAATTGCTGGAGACAGTAATTTAGTACCAAAGACAATAATATTAATTAAAATATTTTAGAAGAAAAAAAAAAGTCAATTTACAGTTAAATTACTGTCGAAGACAGTAATGTAGCCGCCATGACAGTAATATTAATTAAAATATTTTTTTTAAGAAAAAACAAAATTATTAAAAAAAAAAAAAAAGTTCAACGCCGGAGACCGCGGTAAAAAATATTTTGGGGAAAAAAGTTTTTCAAAAAAAAAAAAAAAAAAAGTCTACGCCGGAGACCGGCGGTCTCCGGTGGTGGTGGGTCAAAATTGAAATTATGGTTAAAATTGGTTAATTGATGAAATTGGACTAAATTGTGGTGTAAATCATGAAATTGGAGTTGAATTGGGTTTCAATGAATTGGGGGTAATTTGGGTATATATAAAGGGATTTCCTTTATTTGCAAATAAGTTTAAATGAGCTGGATTTATTTGAAAGACAAAAAAGTTTGATGTCTCTCTTTTAATTAAGTGGTATTGTCATGGGCCTATTGCTTATATATATATATATATATATATATATATAT